CCATAAAACTCCTAGAAGAACACATAGGCAGTAAACTCTCTGACACTGCTCTTAGTAATATTTTTTCTGATACCTCTCCTCATGCAAGGGAAACAAAATAAAAAATATACAAATGAGACTATATCAAACTATAAGGTTTTGCACAGCAAAGGAAACCATCGAAACAAAAAGACAACCTACTGAATGAGAGAAAATATTTGCCAATGGTACATCCGATAAGGGGTTAATATCCAAAATTTATAAAGAAATCATACAAGTTAACACCAAAACAAACAAACAAACAAACAAACAAACAAAATCCAATTAACAAATGGGCAGAGGACCTAAATAGGCATTTCTCTAAAGAGGACATACAGATGGCCAATAGACATATGAAAAGACTCTCAAAGTCACTAATAATCAGAGAAATGCAAATTAAAACCACAATGAAATATCACTTCATACATTTCAGAATGGCTATCACCAATAAGTCAAAAAACAAGTGTTGGCGAGGATGTGGAGAAAAGGGAAGCCTCGTACACTGTTGGTGGGATTCTAAATTGGTACGGCCACTATGGAAAAGTTTGGAGATTCCTCAAAAAATTAAAAATAGAACTATCTTTTGACTAGCAATTCCACTTCTGGGTATTTATTCAAAGAAAACCAAAACACCAATTAGAAAAGATATATGCACCCCTACGTTCACCGCAGCACTATTTACAGTAGACAAGATGTGGAAGCAACGTAACTGCCCATCAACAGATGACTAGATAAAGAAGTTGTGGTATACATATACAGTAGAATATTACTCAGCCATAAAAAAATTGAAATCTTACCATTTGCAACAACATGGACGGACCTAGAGGGTATTATGCTAAGTGAAATAAGTCAGACAGAGAAAGACAAATACCATATGATCTCACTTATATGTGGGTTCTAAAGTACAAAATAAATAGACAAACAAAACAGAAACAAATTCATAGATACAGAGAACAAACTGATGGTTGTGGGGCTAGGTAAAAAGGTGAAGGGATTAAGAAGTACAAATTGGTAGTTACAAAAAATAGTCATGGGGATGTGAAATACAACATAGGGAATTTAGTCAATAATACTGTTATAACTATGTATAGTGCCTGGTGGTTACTAGACTAATTGGGGGGATCACTTCATAAATCATATAAATGTCTAACCACCATGCTGCACACCTATAACTAATAAAAATAATATCGAATGTCAACTGATTGAAAAAATAAAATAATAAAGAATGTCTCTTTTACTTATGCATGATTGCGTATCATGCTTTGGTTACTGGAAAATACTGGTTCACTGAGTTATGCATCTTCCAAATGTAGTACTATATAAAAGATCACATTTTAATATCAACACCAATCTCATTAGTAAAGTCTTCAATTATGGAGAAGAATCGAGTTCATGGTGATGGATACAAGTCTTTCAAAATTCTATTTTTCACTTAAAAGCTTGAATTTTATCTTTGGAAAACATACTGTCTGTTGCTTTTCTAACAAACAGGCTAATTTTATTCATTTTTAAGAAATGTCTACCCAAATAATTAACTCTATATAACCACTATGTGTCATTCATTCTTTCAAGTATAAATGGTGTTCCACAACAAAGGGGGCTGGTTCAGTTAGCAACTAAAACATCTATGAAAGTGCTTTTTTCCAAGCTAACCATCTTTCTTTGAAGGCACCAGATGTGCCTTATGGGTACTTCCCATTTTATCATTCTGAATATTAGGATAGGTACTCAAGAGTCAAGATTTAATAAAATCAATAATTTATTGTTTATTCAATGACATTCTAAAATGAAATTGGCATTTTTTTTCCATCATTGCTCAATGTGGTAAAGAATATAATGTGTACTAGTACCGTTTGGTACTAGTGCCTTGATTCACGCTAAGGTTCCAGTAGTTTTACCTGCTTCTTTTGCACTGTCAATGTAAATATCTATACAATGAAAGGGCAACTACTGTTTTAGCTTTATCACTATAGTTTTGACATTGTGAATCCCTTGAATGGTTTTTGGATACCTCCAAAGATCTGTGGATCACAGTTTGAGAAACACTGCTTTATTCCAATTATGAATTAAGAGGATTTAAAACATTGTGCTAGCCCCTGTGAGAACAGGGTTCTGCACAATGTTACTGTTACTTCTGGGTTGTGGTCTACTGGGTCTAAAACAAAAGCCTAGGTGTTTCCCATGTCCCCCATACCTTGATAGGCTTTGAACTCCATTCTTTGTCTATCAAAAGTCTGTTTCACTTTTCAATGAGGTATTGGGACTAGGCATTAAATACCTCAAGGGAAAAATTGCTAGGCTTACCCCTATGGGTTTTCCTTCCATTCTGAATCTTGATACCACAAATCCTTGTACCTTCTTAGCTATCTGGACTAAGCATATATATTTTAAAAATATATTTTGTCCAGTATTTTTAGTGGTTCTCAATAGGAGATTTGGTTCGAACCATCAAGACTGCCATTTCTGGAAGCCTCTAGACCTTAAACTGTTTCTTGATGTTGCTTTTATTAGGTAGGTATAAATACAAGCTATGCGTGCTGTAAAAATCTTAAAACAATACATATGTACATATAAAATTTAAAACTTTAACTTCTCACCATTTTCTTTCCAATCCTTGGCCTCCTACAAAGAAAACCACTTTTGTCAACTTGGTGTATGTCCTTCTACTCTTTTCTCTATATATTTGTACACTTAAACATTTTAAAAATATATAAATGGGCTCATGCTCTTTTCACTCTTACAAATTTCTCTCATAGAATAATTCTAACTTTTTAGTTAACTCAGTGATTAATAACAATAGTTAACATTTTCAAGCGCTTATTTTTCAAGTGTTGGGCACTGCCCTAGAGGCAATAATACATTTGTTCTTCACAACAACCTGTGAATTAGGTATTATTAACCTCATTTTACTGGTCAGGGAACTAAGCTTTAGTGAAATGAAGTATACTTACTCAAAGCCATACTGTTAAATTGTATTGTCAATGTGAATCTTGAATGTGTTAATCCTTGTCAATATTATATTTCTGAAGTATATGTTATAATACATCATAACACTTTCAAAATGCCTTTCAATCAAAGCTAAACTTATATTTTATACCAATGTCCATTTCATGGTTTTGATATTGTACTATAGCTATATGATGTAACAAATGGGGTATACTGAGTGAAGGGTACAAGGGACCACTCTGTACTGTCACTGTAACTTCCTATGTATCTACATTTTAAAATAAAAAGTCACAAAAGATTTACATACTGTATGATACCATTTACATAAAATTTTGTATTGAGATATAATTGACAAATAACATATACATTGCAAAATGATCACCACAATAAGTCTGGTTAACATCCATCACCACACATAGTTACAAAATTTTTTTCTTGCAGTGAGAACTTTTAAGATTACAAAAAATTTTGAAATAACAAAATTTTAGAGATGGAGAGCAGATTAGTAGTTTCCAGGGGTATGGGAGACATTGCTGTGACCCTAAGTGGGCAACACAAAAGATCTTTCCGGTCATAGGGCAGTCTGTATCTTGACTGTGGCAGTGGTTATGCCAATCTATACATGATAAATTGCATAGAACTGCACATAAAACTATTAAAATTTGAATAAGCTTTGTGAAATGTATCAATGTCATTTTGTGGTTTTGTTACTGTACTATAGTTAGTAAGATATTAGCATTGGAGGAAATTAGGTGAAGAGTACAGGGAACTTCTCTGTGCTATTTTTGGAATTTCCTATGATGTATAATTATTTCAAAACAAAAAAAATTATGCTTAACAAGAACACAATACATCTTAAATAAGTTTCTTGCAAATGTTGGTTTATCATAATATTGTACAGTAACCAAAGTGAATTATTTTGATTAGGAATCCTTGTTTTTTTCAGTAGAACCAAGTTTTTCAAGAGTTTCTAACATTAAAAAAGATGAAGGTATATATGAAGTGCTTTCAGCAGTCATCTAAAATCCTGATTTAAGTAATAGAGGGAATCGAATTTTTCTCTTTTGTAAATAATTACTCCTTTTTCTTTTTTGGTTAAATTGGTTTCATCAAGTTTAAGGTCCTCCCCAATGGAAAACAACATATATTAAACAATACATGGAAAGTAATGATAATAAACTTACCTGGCTATTACTACTCGCTAGGCACCATTTTAAGTTATTTATGCCTATAAACATATCTAAACCTCAGAACAACACTTTGCTACTAATTTTTAAAAATTCCCATTTTACCAATAAGAACAAAGAGACAAGAGCTGTTTCACAGGTAGTAATGCTGTACCTGGTCAGCTTTCCACTACAGTTAAATTTGCATTGATTTTTTAAAGTAGCATACTTTGGGCTTTTAAAACATTCCTTTGATTTCAATCGTATTATCTTAATTCCTGTCATTAGCATTAGTTTGATGGAGTCTTTGCTCTATTTAAAGAACTATTTGCTCATTTTCTGTATTTTTATAACAAGGCAGAAAACACCCTATTTTGTAAATTACAATGTCTTTCCTTGAGTTGAAATGACATAAGGTAATGGAAGAGAGAAGGAAACGTAGAATTTGAAGCCAAAGGAAGAGGTTAAAATTTAGTTTACCACAGGTTTGGGGGTGGGAGGCAGGAATCTGCTCTTTGAAGTTCTCTTCGTTAAACCCTACTCTGACGTATTTTTATAACCGTAATAATCTGACACCACCACTGGGGCAACACTGCAGTGAGAAACTGGAAAATATGCCCCCAGCACTAAGTGTAGCGGAGAAAATCTGCCAACCTGCACTCACAGGTAGGTGGGCACGAAGACTTAGTAGAAGTTGGAGCCGCAGGCTCGAGGACTTCCGGGCAGCTCGTGGGAGAAGGTGCGCGGGCACACTTCCGGGTGGCCTCCCGAGGGTTCCGATCAAGCGCTTCCGGGTAGCACGTGGCCACGGGAGCGGCTCCTAGGTCGGCCTCTGCTGTGGTAGCATTCGACGAGAGTGGGAATCAAGGCAGCCCTGAGCGATGGCGTCTCGGTATGACCGCGCAATCACTGTTTTCTCCCCGGACGGACACCTCTTCCAAGTGGAATATGCCCAGGAAGCTGTGAAGAAAGGATCCACAGCGGTGAGCGGGCAACTTCATGACCACCGCACCGCCTGGCCTCAGGCCTTCCTTACCTCACTGACCCAGTCTACTCAGTATAGGGGGAAAGGAAGGAAAGTCACCCACTTGTGAAAATTGCTTCTTTCCTTTTATTGAGGGAAATAATGTTTCTGAAATTTGGGCTGGAAGTGGCGGAGTAAAAGTTGATAGGTTCCGTAGGTTTCTGTTGTGCAGCTGCCTTTGTTTAACGATAGCCACAGGCGCCAAATGTGGGTGCGTGCGTGCGTGTGTTTTATCAGTCTTGACTCTAGAAGAAATATTGATTGTTTCTGAAATAAGGAAAGAAAAGATCTCTTTCAACCTCTAACAGCCTACCTGAATGCACGCGGTCCACTTTCTTAGAAATTCACATAGGGATGGAAAAGTAAGTTTCTTCGGGTACAGAGCTGTTGTTTAATCATAATTATAATATAAGGTAAAAATTGATCATGCCTGTCCCTGACTAAGTCGATGTAAAGTTAAATCCTTGTTGGCGAGGAAACAGTTAAAACAGCTAACCCACTGATCATTTTCACCTGTTGAAAATAATTGTCCTGATATTTGCACCCAAATATTTGGCAGCCTTTTAGAGTCTCTAAGCCCCAAGCATCTGCACTGTTTTGCCACCTTTTTTTTTTTTTTTTAGTTTTTAAATAATACTGAAATTCTTTGAGAGATTATACCCTACTTTAAATTTACCTATGCACATTTCTGAAAAACTTTTACTCAAGGTAGCAGTAATACTCCTGCCAAGTTTTTAGTTATATTTAATAACAGTGGTTTATAAAAATTAAAAAGGACAAAAGTGCCCTGGTGACCAAAGATCAATTATCCCAAACCTTCCAAGTCCTAGGCTTCGAATTCAGAAAGATCCTATTTTTTAGATCTCAAATTTCATGAACATGTGCATTTTGGAAATTGAGACACTAGTTATGAGAATACAGAGTGCATTTCCAAGTGTAACAGTGTCTGTATTTTCTCTCACTTTCCATACCAACTTAGTTATGGAAGGAAATAATTCACTTTTATTATAAATCTATCAAATGAAAAGTGGTAAAAGAAAACACTAGAAAGAATCATCATTTTTTAAAGTATTTTTCTATTTAATGGGGCCCACTAGTTTTGCTTCTGTTTTGTAAGTAATTTTTTTTTAGAATTGTAAATTTAAGAAAAGCCTGATGTAGCTTAAACCAAAAGGGTACTATTTTGATAAAAACAAAAAGTTATATAATCCCCAGCATGGCGTGAAGCATATGGTTAGAAAATAATGCCCAAGTTTTAGAGCCTAAAATAAAAGGAGTAATGGGAGTAGACTGGGGTATAATAAGAAGCCACATTGGCTCATTTAAAATGTTTTAAGAATGCTATAGAACTGATTGATAGTTCCTTTGTAATGAGCTGTAAAAGGGTAAGGATATAAAAATACCTATACCAGGCATTTTTAAAGATACATTGGAAGGATGAGACAGTTCTGTCTTAGGATTCTGAAATTATAATTTGCACTTTTGTGTGGAGTTATTCATTGTTTCCTTGTGCTATGAACTTTTATATAGAGTAGAGTTTATAATGGCACTCATTTATTAAAATATGTCAAAGAATTAAAATATTCTTTCTATAAATGATATTTGATATGAGTTATAAATAAGCCAAGGTTAACCAGTTTTGACCAGTATGTGAATATGATATTATTTAGTAATACAAAAAGTTTTATGGGCCACAATTAGAGGCCTTGGATTTTACCTCCTTCTTGATGATTATCTTACAGCATGAGGTGAGGCAAGTGACCTGTTTTCTTTTTGCCTTAGTTCCCTTTTCTACAAATGAAAAATATCTTTGAATAACATTTTGGAGCAGTATTATCTTTATTCTTGTGGAAAAAATGAATCCTTCATGATGTTCTCAAGAAAAAGATGTATTATCATTCCTCATTCTGTCCTTTCCCTGACCCTAAACTGTTATTAGCTCCATATTTCCTATGTTATCAGATCTCAGCTCCACAGTCTGGCCATCAATGTCTTCTATAATCCTTATCCATCTTCTTTAATTAAGGGAGCAGCTTCATGGTTTCACTAATATATGCTTCTGCCCTTGTAGGTGGGAAGAAAAGAAAATACCTTTCTTTCTGCCATTCTCCATCTTTACTTATCTTCTAAGATCTGCACACATTTCTCCTTCATGAAGCCATCTCTGTTCCACTTTAGTCATAGATATTTCTCTTCATCTGAATTTATAATCTGTAACAGAGCATTGTACAGTATTTACTATTTGCCCTCAAATTGTCTTTAATTTCAGGTATATTTAATAGTGTTCTCACACCAACTAGATAGATCTTTGAGAATCTAGATGGTGTAATTTCTATTTCGACTACATGATATACAATGGAGGGGTTAGGAAGGAAGTGAACTAACATTTAAGGAATACTTATTTTATACCAATATTTTATGTACATTATCTAATGTTAAGAATAGTATTTAATCCCCTTTTATGTCTGTTGAATCTACAATTCAGAGCTTTCATAACTTGCTGAAGGTACCCAGCTAGAAAATGATGGTGCTTATAGTCACATTTAATTTTTTCTAATTCCAAAGCCTCTGCTCTCTTCATTGTATCATTCAGTTTATTCAATAAATATTCACGTATTAATTAGCTATCATTATCATAAATGTAGAACTCAGGTATGTATCATGTAAGACAATTGACTTCTCTAAGCTTCAATCCCTTTAACAGTAAGATAGACATTAAAATAGCACATGCTTCATAGAGTTCATGCGACAATTGAATGAAGTAATAATACATGTTAAGTATCTTGTACAGTGTCTGCTTCATGGCAAGTACTTAATAAATGGTAGCTATTATTATTTACTATCCCTTTGTTTTCTCTTTTTTCTTCAATGTGTCTGTGGTTCTTCCAGCACATTCATTTATTATTTCAAGACATTTTTATTGAACACCTATATCTGCCAAAGGTGGTACTGGACCCTAGGGTTTCATAATGAGAAAAGACACTCCATCCCTGTCCTCAAAGAACTTACTCTCTAGGAGTAACGTTAAATGATCAACAACAAAGCATAAATTAGTATTATAATGGTGAGAGTATGGAGCATTATGGGAACTCTAGGTGTTAGAGAGGTCTGCTTGAGGAAGTAATGTTTAAGTAGACACCTGAGAGATGAAAGATAACCAGGTAAAAAAAGTGGAAGGGAAAAGAAGGAAAAATATTTTAGACAAAGGAAATAGCATGTGGGGAGACCAAGCAGCAAAGGGCAACTATATTCAGAATTGCTGAAGCAATGGAAGAATTGGACAAGATGGAGCTAGAAATGGGCTAGATAATGGAATGCCTTTAAGAGAATTAGATGCCTTGAGAGTTTTGATGTGGTTATTGTCATTCTCTAGATTATTGGTGTTTTCTTTCTAGTAACAGACTAAATTTGTCCAATCACAGAGGTACTCACATGACCCAGGTAGAATCATAATTTTCTATCCTGGTCATAATGATGAATATGTGATTCAAATCTAGCCAATATAAATCAAGTCTTAGGGCTTTTCTAACTGGAGATAATGGTAGCTTTTTTCTCTGAGAGACTGTTAGAATGTGAGTCCAAGTTGCTGGTGGCCATCTATTTTTCTGTTTAAAGAAGTCCTCTGCATTAAGAGTAAATATTACAGTCCGTAGATCCTTCTGTCCCAAGTCCAGCTATGTGCTTAGTTTACCTAGTGAGAAATGGTCCTTATTAATACAGATTTTAAGTAGAAGAGTGCCACATTCAGATTTTCCTTTTTTTCATATTTTTATTTTTCAAAGAGTCTCAGATGACAGTGTGGTCAGTGAATTGGATGAAATCAAGATTGGAAGCAGAGAGATCACATAGGAGTCTATGGAAGTAGTCCAGATGAAAGATGCTAGTCATTTTTACTAAGGTTGGAGCAGAAATGAAAATAAGGCAGAATTCAGAGAAACTTTAGCAGTAGAGTTTATACAATCTGATGATTATTTGGATGGTGTTATGGAGACAGGGGAAGGAAAGAAGAAGGTATTGAAGAAGGAGAAATCAAAGATAATGCTTCCGTTTCTGGATTTCACCAACAGAGTGCCATTTTCTAGGGAATATGAAGCACTAAGTGTGAGGGGATGATACCTGAGATTGAGATGCTTATGGGAACTCTAGGAGGCACCCTCTATAATGGCCTCCAGTGATCCCCATCTTCTGGTGTTCATGCCCTTGTGTAAACCTTCCCCTGGATGTGGTCAGAACCTAGTTATTCACTTCTAAGAGATAGTATAGGCAAAAGTGATGGGATGTCACTTCAGAGATTAGGTTACAAAGAGATGGTGACTGAACGTTTTGTTCCTTTGCTTTTCTAGTTTTGTTTTTAATTTAGGTGTGGATATTAAATTTTATCAAATGCCTTTGTAGCTTTTATCATTTAATTTTTACTATGGAATTGTTTTACTTGGGACTATTTAAGTTTCAAGCATCAGAAATACAGCTCACAATAATTTAAGCAAAAAAGCGAATCTACTGAATCAAGTACCCAAAGGGAGCAAGGGTAAACCTTGCTTTCAGGCTCAATTCAGTGGCTGCTAGGATCTTAAATGATGTCAGCAGAACTGACACGTCTCTCTGTGTGTATCTCTCTCTCCCTTCCTCTCCGTCTGCATCCCTTCCTCTTTCGACTTGTTACTTTCACTCTCAGACAAGACCTCTCTAAGTGGTGACTCCTAAATAGCCCTAGGCTCCACACTCCAAGCTCTTTGTATGACAGAAAGAACTATCCTGTTTTCCAAATATTTTCAGTAAAACTTTAAGGATTTACAATTTAGATAGACTGGTTTACATTACAGCCCCACCTAAAGATTCAGTATTTCTCCAAGAACAATTGAAGTACTGTTATTATCAGAAGGCCAAGAATAACAGTTCTCTACTATCCACTATGACATTTATATTAAAATATTTGCTTTTATTGATATTTCTAAAATTCCTGGAATAAACTACACTCATTTGTAATATATTGCTATTTTCCTATAATTCTGGATTCTATTTGTAAATATCTTGTTTTGAATTTTTAGCATCAGCTTTGCTAAGTGAAAATCCTTGGCATTTTTCTTTATTTAGAAAGTGTTGTATTTGTCAGATTTTAACATTGTTACATAGCTCTCCTAAAAAGAGGAACATTTCCATTTTGATCTATACCATAGAATAATTGAAATAGCATAGGAATTACCCATAACAGAAGATTAGAAAGAATTCATTCATGAAACTTCTGACACTTGTTTTTGAGGAATAGTTCTTTTCTGAAATTATCTCATGTTTGTTAGTAAGACTGAGTTTCTTTTCTTAAGTCAGTATGGGCAGTTTTTAATTACTCTAGTTTGTCATCCTTTTCAGTCAGGTTTTTGAATTTCTTAATTTAGGGTTCTAATTTTTAAATTTCATTTTCTCACTTGATTATATATATACATGTATATATATACATATATATTTTTTTTACTCTTTCTGCCTTTTAGCTATGCTAACTGAGGCATCTTTTAAAAATATTTCTTTTAAAAACTATCTTTTGGTATTATCATTTTTTTTTTGTTTTCTCCTGAATCATTAATTTCTGGTTTATCTTTATTTCTTTCCTTAAACTTAGCTTAAATATTTTTATTCCATTATGGATTTCTTGAATGAACTTTTAATTTTTTATTTCATTTTATAACATGAGATTATGAATTTTCTTCTGAGCATAATTTTGTCCACATACGAAAGATTTCGATATTAGAATTTTCATTATAAACATTTTCTAGATTGTATGTGTTGGCAGTTTTGTTTTGTTTTTTGAAAAGAAAAAAATTATATATACGAAATGCTTTGAATTTGGGTCATCCACATAGGTAATGGGGTGGTAGATGAACTAAGAGGAAAATGGGTAGCCCACGGCAGCTGTAGGTGATGGGAGCAGGGATCGAGGTGGGGGTTGTTTTGGGGGTGCGACCCCCCAGGGCTTTCACAGCCAACATATTCAGCTTGCATTTCCTCGCCTCTGGCTGAGGCCAGTCATATAAATCTGCACCTCTCCCCCAACTCCCTCCTTTTCTTCTCTCCTCCTTCCAGGCCCCACCATCTCAGGGATGGGATGTGCCCGTTGCCTGTAACATAACCCTCCAAAAGTCAGCTCTGCACACAACTCCCTGGCTACAGTGGCGCCTGTGTGCAGAGGCACTCTAATGAACCAGCCTCTTGGCAGTTTTAATTTCTTTATTAAGTCAAAATTTGTTTAGGTGAGAGCTATAAAAAAATTATTTTGTTGTCTTGTGATCAATGAATTTGATTTATTTCAATTTGGGGAAAATATTGAATTTTTATTTGAGTCTTAATATACGTTAATTGTTATAATGTCCCATGATTTAATAAGAAGGCATGTTCCCTGTTGGGTATGAAATTCAACATGTGCCTATTAGGTGAGGGTGGGTTGTGGAGGGAGGGTTTGCTGGTTTTAGATAGGATGGTTAGGGAAGGCCTCTTGAATAAACTGACAGACTTGAATGAAGTGAGGGAACAATTAGAGCAAAAGCCTTAATAAATTGTTTCTGTTTTATTTAATTGAAAAATATAAACTCATGTCTAGTTCTATATTTAGTCTGTTCTATAGTTTTACTTCCAGAATGCTAATTCAGAACACACCTTTTTGCATAGTTATTCTGCATGAAACAGTAGTAATATCACATTTGGCCACAAGGCAATCACAAACAAATACCAATATCAAAATATTTAGATTACCATTGTAATACAGAATTAAAGTTCTCATAAATTATTCTTGAACCCCTGAGAATGTGGCATGTTTCTCCAGAAGTCCCTGTTTGGGAACTACTACCCTTGTACATTATTCTTCAGATTTTTTTTCCATTTCCTTACCAAGGGAAGTGCTAGAGGGAAGAACAGTAGTGATTCTTTTTGCTATATTTCTGTTTGATTTGAGACTATGACCTAGGGTGAGGGCCTTTGGTCTTTCTCTTGGCTGCTTATGACCCCAATTCCTGTTCTTCCAAATTATGAGATACATGAGAGAGATTTCAGAATGTTATCTGCTTAACTTTCTGTGCTATTTCTTCTTCCACCAGTACTAGTACTGCCCATTCTATAAGGAATCTACATGGATTCCCAGCATCTTCTTTCATTTTGGTTTAAATGGTTCTATATTTAGATTGCAAATCTTCAGGTGTATTGTACGAGATTTGAACACTCATGTAGTTTCAACATTTAATTTCTACCTATATTTCTTTTTTGCTTTGAGTTTGGGGAATGGACTTAAACTAAGACTGGATCTATGCAATGGTTTCCTTAAAAGTCTACTTTTTCACTTTCATTGAATGTTTAAGGAAAAGCCTTTTCCTATAAGTCATGTGTTAGAATAATTTGATTTAATGTTAACACTGACAACTAATTATGTTTTTTAAATGACTTGACAGGTTGGAATTCGAGGTACTGATATAGTTGTACTCGGGGTAGAAAAAAAATCTGTTGCCAAGCTTCAAGATGAAAGAACTGTGAGGAAAATTTGTGCTCTTGATGACCATGTCTGCATGGCTTTTGCAGGTACTTATTGACCTACAATAATGATGCAGAGTATCTTGGTGTAGTAGGGTAACACCTTTGGCCTCTCTACAGCTGTTGTGCTGTATTTATACAACATATGGAGTTATACTACATTTCTTATTAACTGCAAAAATATACCTTATCTTTTCTGGAAAATCATAACTCTGTAAACCAGGATTTCTGATAGTTAGCTTTGATAAAACATAAATGTTAGAAGGTATATGTTATATTACCTTAATTATAACTTTAAGTAGTTGTTTTCTTTTTAAACTTTATTTTTATATAATTTTAGATATTGGGAAATTACAAGAAAATAGAGTAGTCTCCTTTACCCATTACCCAGTTTTCCCCAATGGTAACATCTTCAAAAACCGGTAAACACTGTTACAAGCTACAGAGTTTATTCAGATTTCACCAATTTTACATGCACTCATTTGTGCATGTGTGCGTGTGTAGTTTTATTAGACTTACCACACGTTTAGATTCCTGTAGCCATCAACATAATCAAGATACACAACTCTTACATTACCACTATCCATGCTATTCCTCCTCCACAACTCTAACCTCTGGCAACCACTAATCTGTTCTCTCCTCCATCTCTATAATTTTGTCATTTTGAGACTACTATATGAATAGAATCGTATGGTATATAACCGATTCATATTGGCTTTTTTTTTCATTCAGCATAGTACCCTTGCAATTCATCCAAGTTACTGCATATATCAATAACCTGTTGCTTTTTATTGCTAAATAGTATGCCATGGTACAGTGTCCTTCACCTGCTGAAAGGCATTTGGATGATTTCCAGTTTTTCCTATTATAAATAAAGTTGGCGTGAACTTTCGTGTACAGGTTTTTATGTGAATATAGGTTTTTATTCTGGGGTAAATGCTCAAGAGTATAATTGCTGGGTCAGATGATAATGCATGCTTTGTTATATAAAAAACTGCCAAATTGTTTTCCAAAGCAGCTGTATTCTTTTACATTCCTACTAGCAGTATATGAATGATCATTTTCTCTGCATCCTCAGTAGCATTTGATGTTGTTACTATTTTCTATTTTAGACATCTGTATAGGTGTATAGTGATATCTTATTGTGGGTTTAACTTGTATTTGCCTTATGGCTAGTGACGTTGAACATAATTTCATGTGCTTGTTTGCATCTGTATAGCAAACAAGACATGTTTCTTGCGTTGTTGTGTTTTGTTTTGTTCATTTACTAATCAGAATTTTATATTGAAGTTAAAAAACCTTACTGACCAAAAAATAAAGTTTATCTTACTGTCTTAAAAAAGGAATTATCGTGCCACAAAACAAGTCTTAATAAAGTTTAAAAGGTTAAAATCTTACAAAGTATCATTTCCAGTCAAAATGGAATAAAATTAGAAATCAACAGCAGAAGGAAAATTGAAAATCAATAAATATGTGGAAATTAAACAATACTCTTAGTAAATCCATGGGTCAAATAAAAAAATCATGAGAAATTAGAGCATATCTGGAGACAAATGAAAATGAAAACACAACATGCACAGTGTATGGGATACACCAAAAACCATGATAAGAGAAAAATACATAGCTATAAATGCTTATATTTAAAAAGATTTCATTTCAACAACTTAACTTTTCTTCTTAGGAATTAGAAAAAGAAGAACAAACTAAACCCAAAACTAGCAGAAAGAAGGAGCTAATAAAGATTAGAGCAGAGATATATAAAATAGAGAAGAGAAAAACAGTAGAGAAAAATCAACAAACCCAAGAATTGATTCTTTGAAAAGATCAACAAAATTGATAAACCTTTAGTCAGATGGACGGAGAATGAAAGAAGGCTTGACTAAAATCAGAAATGACAAGGGGTATGCTACTAATGATGTTAACAGAAATAAAAAGGATATAAGAGAGTGCTATGAACAGTCATACACCAACAAATGAGTTAGCCCAGAAGAAATTGAGAAATTCCTTGAAGAGTACAAATTATTTGAAGTTATTCAAAAAGAAATAGAAAATCTCAACATATGTATAATAAATAAGGAATAAACCATTAATCAAACACCTCTCAACAAGGGAAAGTTCAGGACTAGATGTTTTCACTGGTGAATTCTACCAAACATTTAAAGAAGAGTTAATCATCCTTCTGAAACTCTTCCAAAAAATCTAAAAAGAAGGAATACTTTCAAACTTAATCCATGAGGCCAACATTACCCTGATACCAAAACCAGACAGAGATACTACAAGAAAACTACAGTTCAATATTCCTTATAAATATTGATATAAAAATCCTCAACAAAATACTAGCAAACCATATTCTAGCATATTAAAGGGATTATACACTATAACTAAGAGGGATTTATTCCTGGAGTGCAAGGATAGTTCAACAAATGAAAATCACGGTACTATAATACAACGAAGGGGAAAACTACATGATCATCTCAATTGATGTAAAAAAAGAATTTGAAAAACTTTAACAGCCTATGAGGATGAAAAAAAAAAATTCAACAGACTAGGAGTAGAAGAAAATAACCTCAACATAATAAAGGACATATATGAAAAACCCATAGTGCACATCGTACTTAATGGTGAAAGACTGAAAACTTTTTCTCTGAAGATCAGGAATAAGTCAAGAAAGTTCACTTTGAAGACATTATGCTAAGTGAAATAGTCACAGTAGGACAATTACTATGTGATTCCACTTATATGAGATACCTAGAGTAGTCAGATTCATAAAGACACAAAGTAGAATGGCAGTTACAAGGGGAGTTGGAGGTAGAGGGAATGAGAAGCTTTTGTTTCATACATTGAAGTTTCAGTCTGGAAAGATAAAAAGTCCTAGAGATGGATGGTGATGATTGCCTAGCAGTGCAAATATACTTAATTCCACTGACCTATACATAAAAATGGTTAAAATGGTAAATTTTATTTGATATATTTTTTACTACAATAAAAAATTTTTTTAAAAGGAATGATGTTAATGTAAATGATGGAATGCTGTAATTTCTGGTACATATACCTTTCTGACTTTAATATAAAGATAATTTTTAAATGTATATAACTTTTGGCAGAGTAAAATAAGTATTTACTAACATTCTCCTTACATGTTAATTGATTTTTGAAAATGGAAAATACCTAAATGTCTATTATTAGGGAATTGGTATAATGAGTCATGGTACATCCATGCAATTGCTTAAAAATACAAGTTCTGGAGTCATACCAACTGGATTCTATGACAGACTCTGTATCCACTACACCTGTGACTGTGGGCAAGGTACTTAATGCTCTTTGCCTCAGTTTAGTCATCTGTAACATGAGGTTAATGATAGTATCCACCTTATTGATTTATTACAAGGATTAAGTGAGTTAATACATAAGAAGCATTTAAAGCGTCTGGCATATGTGAGTATTTAAAAAATATAACTCTTACCACTACTCTTACTACTTCATTATCATCACCACCATCATTATCATCATCATTATTATTTAGTGGCAGGTAAAAAAGTAGGTAGTAAGATCTGTATGTGTTGACATGTATCCATAATATATATTAAAAATAGATTGCTAAAGAATATAAATAACAGTTTTGTTTATATATTATGGAATTATATGGTACCTCCTATTCCCTCTGTTGGAATATTTTATAATGGGCACATATCAGAAATACAGTTTCATTTTGAAAAAAAATCACATTTTGTTGTTGTTATAGTGTGCTTTTAATGTTAGGAAAACAGCCCTTAGGAAAAAAAAATCAAAGAATTTTAAAAAGACAGTTTTTCATGTAGCATGTGGAATTCCACTTAATAGTAGAAATTTTACATTATGATAGTATCTGCAAGGTAAAATTGTGGCATAAAGTTGAAAGCACTAGATGACACACTCATTCTGTATAATTGCTTATTTATAAACAAAGTGAAATTGAAAATTTCATTTCTCTTTAAATAGAATTTGTCCTCTTTTTCCTAGCCATTTAGTATTGATTAGTGTAATTGCTACATTGGTTAAAAACAGATAAATACACAGAACTATGTTACTCATATGACTTGGCAAATTTATCACTAATTTTCTTTCTTTGAATGACATATTACTACTTTCTGAGTGTGATATTTTTATGTTTCCATCATTGTGGGGTCATATTTACATTGTAAAGGGAAAATACTCTTCTTTCTGATCATATTTAGAGTGAAGCTTTTAATTCATAAGATAGGCCAAATCAGTGTCCTCCCATTTCTTTCTCTCAGGTAACATTTGCAGAGAAGAGAAATCTGTTTCTCCTCCTTTAACTATCTGATTATAATTTACACCCTACCCATGAGTGTTAGGTTGGTTCTTAACAGTGGCATATTCTGACAATTTTTTTGTTGTTGACTACAATTAACCATCTTCGGGGACTGGAAATTCTTCCAGGTGTGTAGAAACCTGATATAAAATTAGGTGGAAGGGGAACAAGAGTATGTGACTGCAAAAGACTAATGGTTATATGAGAAATGGCTGTTTCAGAGATTTTGTGAATGAACTTTTTGGGCAATGTTGCATTAAGAGAGTGGGGAAAGAAACAAAATGTCCGTGAAGTCTTTGATAGAAATGTTTGCAATCATTGCATCTGTTTAAGTTTTTTGTCAATTTTTTAAAAATAGAAACATTTATTTCCTTATAGAAGTTTTGGGAATTAATTACAGGATGTTTGGTATGACAAAAGTAAGACTGACAAAAGTTTTCTTTTTCTGTTTTAACATTCTTGATTCCCTAACCTGTAATCTTAGAGAAAATGCTGAGAAGTGATGTCATAGTTACATTGAATGAAATTTGATTTTCTTTTCATAAAACGAAATCCAGCTTCATCGTTTAGGTAATAGTATATTAGTTTTTGAATCAAGATAGGCCATCAACCTTTGAACAGTCTGCCATTGATATCCTCCCCAAAAAAGTTTTAAAAAATATGACTACAGAGACTTTTTAAAAATATTTAAATCACAATAACCAGCCCAGCTACTGTGAATTAAACCACTTTAATCTTTGGGAAATAGTTTAACATTAATATTTAACTATTCTTTGAAGCCATTTTTTTTAAAAAATAAATAAGAATGCATCAAATTAAGTCCTGAAGGAAATAAATCAGAATGTCAGATGAGTGACATTCTATTTTACCAATTCTTTATAATGGACATATATTGAGAAAAACAAAGGACATTATAAGAAAGGTTTTATAGCTAAAAACCTTTGACAAGGAAAAAAGTTGTTTTTTTTTTGTAATATATCAATGACTTTTATAGGACTGACTGCTGATGCCAGGGTAGTGATAAACAGAGCCCGTGTGGAGTGCCAGAGTCATAAGCTTACAGTCGAGGACCCAGTCACTGTAGAATATATAACTCGCTTCATAGCAACCTTAAAGCAGGTAAGCCAGTATTCCAACAGATTTCTTCAGGTTTTTTCCTTTATTGCTATGGATCCAATCATGGAAATACTATAGTCACTTCAATCATTTAGTCTATTAAATATACTAAATTCTTTATTCTTTTTCACATTTATTTCATACTCACACTCTTAACCTCCAGTAAAATGGATTGACTTCATCACTAGGAATCTCAAATCAGTATCAATTCTAAGAATTATATTACAATTTGAAAGAGCAATAAATCTAATCATTAAAGGGGATTTCTTTACTTCTGGAGATAATGAGAACCATTTTTTAGAGTTTATACCCATGATTCTTTCACCTAGAAACCAAACCAATTGATTAGGTTTAGATGTGACTTCTGAATCCATGAGTAGATACATGGTTTGACGTTTAGTATAATCATAATGTATACAGTATTTTTTTATTTATTACTATTCTATGTTTCTTATATATGTCAACATAGTCTTTATACTTATTCTTACTAATTATATAGGCATACCTCATTTTATTGCACTTCGCTTTATTGCGCTTCACAGATGTGTTTATTACAAATTGAAAGCAAGACCCTATACCAGCAAAAAGATTATGACTCACTTCAATGTGACACTCTTTATTGTAGTGGTCTGGAACCCAACCTGCAATATCTCCGAGGTATGCCTGTAATACTGTTTCTAGTGCTATCTGGTAATTATTTAGGTTGCTCTCAGTTTCTTTCGTTTTTCTCATATTCATTCTCTCTCCCTCCTCGCCCTGCCCCCACCAGTCTAGTGTGTGTGTGTCTGTCTGTCTGTATGTCTGTCTCTCTCTCTCTCTCTCTTTCTCTCTCAATTTGCTACTTCGATAACATTATTCTTTGTCCCGGCTTTTTTCTTTTTTGAATTATCTTGTTACATTAATTTTCAGTATGGAATTGTTAGATTAGAGATTGTAATTGGTTTTAAGACTCTTGTTATATGTAGCTAAATTACTTTCTGCAAAGATTGAACCAATTTTTATTGTGCAAACAACAATGTATAAATGTATCCCTAAAGGATCATCAGCATTGGGTTTTTTATTTTTCTTTTATTTTGCAGATAAGTATAACATAGTGCTGTATAGTTGTTTTAATTTGTATTTTATAATTAGTAGTGAAGTTTATTTTCTTCTACATGTTGGTTTGTTATTTTCATTTCTCCTAGCATAAACTATTTTTCCTTTCAATAGGCGTCCCAGTGGTTAAGAATGTGCCCCCAGGAGCCAGAATTTTGGGGTTTGAATCCTGGCCTTGCTACTTCTTAGTGCTTTGGGCAAACTATTTAGCCTGTTTTACCTCGATTTTCTTATTTATAAAATGAGCATTACAGTCATACCTACTTTGTTGAGTTGGATTAAATGATTTAATACATTTAAAACATTTAGAATTCTTTCTGACATGGATTTTACCATTTGTCCATGTAGAGATATTTTTTATAGACTGTCTATTCTAGGTATTAAAGTTTTAAATTACATACTTATAAAAAATTTAAAAAATTTAATTCATGTTGCAGAAAAGTCCAACATTTTTATATTGTTCTCCTTTTTTTTTAGTTGATTTTCTCAGAGGTTATAAAGGTATCCCACCCAAAACAAGGTGTAATACATTGTGTATACAAGGTTCTCAATTGTGGTTTTCAGGTTTTCTTCTAGAAATATAAAGGTTATGCATAGAACATTTATAGAAATATACATTTTAAATCTGTAACAATAAAATTGCCACTGGGGAGGGTCCTGGGATCTGGGACAAAAAGATATGTTTTAGGTATATGTTTGGTACTTCTAAATTATTTTAACCCTGTGCATATATTACTTTTTCATTAAAAAAATGGTAGATTAAGCAAATAAAGTAAAAGAGTCTCTCTTCTAAGGTATGTTTACAAAGCACCTACTTATTTTTTTGTGCGATCTAGGAACATTATGATATACAGAGAAATTAAGATATAAACTCTATTTTTAAGAGTTTATTTATGTTTGCATAGCCCAGTTACTTGCATTCATAATTTAAAGAGGTTTATAAAAATACATATATGATAAAATGTGAAAATAAAAAAATAAATATGATACATAGACAAGTCTAGGAAGGAAGCTAATGTAAAGCTGTTTCAAGCCACAAAGTTATTTACAGTTCCTAAAGCTGCCTGTAAATGTGGTATTGAGTTTTCTGTCAGTTTTGCCTCTTTGCACAGCTTGTAGGGGTACCAATCTCAGAATTAGTGTGAATGTCACTCCCTGGAGCACAAATCCAGGAAGTTCCTGGCACTGAAATAAAAAGAAATACAATTGGTTTTCAGTGTCCTGTTGTCTATGAGGAAAAAGCATGCTTTTTCTTTAAGAGAAACAAAGGTTTCCTTGTTCTGGAACTGAAAGAAATGTCTTTGTTGGGTTTTATGTAGCAATAACTTAGTATATAGTGAACAGAATATACTTGATAATAATAATATCAAGTAAGAATACTTGATGATAATAGTAACAATTAAGGTGTCTCCCAAAGTAAACCAAGGAGTGTTTCCAGAGTACAGCTCGTTGAAGTTAGCTTTTCTGGGAACCAAAGTGGTGTGACACACATGGTTCTGCTATATTAAAAAGATCGCAATCTAGTTATATTACCAAAATGTACATAAAGCAGCAAGAAAACAATTTTAAGACCAAAACAAGCAAACTTATGATTTTATTTTGTAGACTGTACATTAATTTCTTAAAAATTTTATCATGGACTTGAGGTTAGTCCAGAAATCAGGAAGAGGATCTTTAAGATATATAGAATAAGAATCAATGAAGAAGATCATTTTGGCAAGAATACTTTATTTGCTATTAGAATTTGTTATTTGATATGTAATAGTATTATCCTTTTTATGGCCTTATACAGAAAGTAGTTATGAAAACATTTTATTTTTCAGAAATACACTCAGAGCAATGGACGAAGACCTTTTGGTATTTCTGCCTTAATTGTAGGCTTTGATGATGATGGTATCCCAAGACTATATCAGACCGATCCCTCTGGTACTTACCATGCTTGGAAGGTGAGTCATCAATTTTTTAACATAATAAAAAAAATCGAATAAGTGTATTTACTGTTAACGCTTTATCGCTTTCAAAGACTGACAAAAATTATGTTACATTAAAATATTGATGGTTGGTAGAAACTTTCTGTCACCATTTAGCTAGTCAGCAATTATGATGATTTTTGATGAATAGAGAAACACTTTGATTTATTAGTCACAGGGTACTTTCCGTATGTTTGAAAAGATGGGACAATCCTAAGTATATAAATGGCCAAATAAGAGAAATATCCAGTTCCTATTCATCATTCATTCTTCCAAATTGATACTGCATCATATAGGTGCTTACTTTGAGTAGATGTAGTCTTTCTGCTTTTAATAAAGAATTAAATGAGCTTTTAAACCCCATACTGAAATCTTCAATGCATCCTCTATTCTAGAAGAGTCAGAGCACCCCAAACTATGAAGTTATTCTCAGCGTGTCAGTACATTACGATTATCTCCATATAATTCCCGGAATATAGTGTGTTTTTGGATAAGTTGTTATTTTTGTTTCAGTACCCAGCTATGAACTTTGTTTAATGGTGCACTCAAATCTAATACAAAAGTCTAAGGCCTAGGGAAACTGTAGTTTCCAAAAGTGAATTTTTGTATATTCTCATATATAAGAATACGACTGTACCACAGAATCTAAGTGATTTTGACTTTATTAAAAGTTTAAATACTTAGGCTTTGAAATAAGTTTATGAAGAGTTTATTTTACTATTATTAAGAGCCAAATAAATTAATTGAGAAATATTGACTTGATCTTTATGGTAACTAAAGGATTTGATTTGAGCTGACCATACTCATTAGATTCTGTTTTAGAAACCAATTAACCAAGCCAGTAAAACAGTGGATTATATTCTTACCAAAGAGAAGTGAGTACTTGTGTTAGCTGCACATCTTCTTTTAAACTACCTAAACAATCTAATTGGTAATCAGAAGCTATGAATTTCCCTGCTGCAGTTACCAGACTTTTTCTACCAGTTAGAAATCTTTTACATGTGCTAGATTTCTTATGCCTCCAAATCTGTGCCCTAAATAAAACACACTATTACACTTTGTCTAAATATTTTGAAGTCTGCCATCTTCTGTTTGCATTTATCATTACATCATTATCCTTCATTTAAATTTCGTAACATCACAATTTCCAAGTTTACATAATTTTCCGTTTTAATTTAGTTGCTCTCTGGGGTCACGCAGAGAAGGATTTTTTATTTCTAAGTCAATTAGTTATGATGAAAATTATGGAATTTTTAAATTGTTGGGAATTTTATTTATCATCTAGGTCTAAAACTGCTCTGCTGTGGTGTTTTTGAAGGCCATGTGGTAGAGGTGGGGAAGATGTGAATAATGTGCCTGCATGCACACATACACCCTATTATCATTATTTTACTAATATTACATATTGCACTTTCTTGTAAGATTTTGGTTGAAAGAAGTATTTATAAAGCTTTTAGTTTTTTTTTTTAACTTTTAAAAAATTAAGTTTATTGGGGTAACGTTGGTTAATACAATTATGTAATTTTCAGGTGTACATTGTAATTTGACATCTGAATATTCTATTGTGTGTTTACCACCCGAAGTCCAGTTTCCTTCAGCTACCATATATTTGACCCCCTTTATCCCGTCTACCTCCCTCCTCCCCCTCCACCCACTATCCTCTGGTGACCTCTAGTCTATAGTCCATGTCCATGAGTCTCTGTTGGTCCTGTTCATTTGTTGCTTTTAGGTTTATATCCCACATATAAGTGATATCACATGATTTTCAACTTTTTCTGTATGGCTTATTTCCCTTAGCATGATTATCTCAGGGTCCATCCATGTAGTATTTCACCTCTTCTTATGGCTCAGTAATATTCCATTGTATGTATGTACCACAACTTCTTTAACCAGTCATCTATTGTAGGACACTTCAGTTGCTTCCCTGTCTTGGTCACTGTGAATAATGTTGCTATGAACATCGGTGTGTAAATATCTTTTTGGATTTTTAAGTCTTTAGAGTAAATACCCAGTAGAGGGATTGCTGGATCATGTGGTAGATCAATTCTTAGTTATTTTAAGGAAACTTCATACTGTTTCCCATAGTGGCTGTACCAATTTGCAGTCCCACCAGCAGTGTGTGAGGGTTCCTTTTCCTCCACATCTCCTCCAACATTTGTTATTACTTGTCCTGTTGATTATAGCTATTCTAACAAATGTGAGATGGTATCTCATTGTGGTTTTGTTTTGCATTTCTCTAATAGCTAGTGATGTTGAGCATCTTTTCAAATATTTGTTGTCCATTTGTATGTCCTCTAGGGAGAAGTGTCTGTTCAGGTCCTCTACCCATGTTTTGATTGGATTGTTTTTTTGTTGTTATTAAGTTGTATGAGTTCTTCATAGATTTTGGATATTAGGCCTTTACTGGAGGCATTGCTTGCAAATAGAGGTTCCCATTTGGATGGTTGTCTCTTTACCTTGTTGGCAATTTCTTTTGCTGATCTGAAGCTTTCTAATTTGATGTAGTCCCATTCATTTATTTTAGCTTTTACTTCCCTTGCTTTTGAGGTCAAATTCATAAAATCTTCTTTAAGTCTAAGGTCCTTGAGTTTAGTTCCTATGTTTTCTTCTATGCATTTTACTGTTTCAGGTCTTATATTCAGGTTATAACGCTTTTTTAAAATCACATTTAGAAAGAGTTTCATTTAGAAACTTATATATATGGTCAGACTTAAGAGTTAAGTGATTTTTTTTTTTAATGTTCATATCACTAGTTAATAGCAAAACTGGAATTAGAACTCAGAATATCCTGTCTATTAGTCCTTTGTTCTTTCCAGAACAGCATGTTCCCTTAGGCCAAAGGATTCTCTATACGTGTTATATAAATTCTGATATCCAGTCTTGAAAGGTAGAATGAAATCTGGTTTTATTTCTGTTTGGAGGGAACTATAGCACTTTAGCCATGAGATAAAGTTTTGCTTTTCCTTTTTTGTTTGTTTGTTTCTATGTTTTGTTTTTAACTCTGACCTACTATGTCAAGTTGCCTGATAAAATGGTACAGTGGGTTATTGAGGACACAGCTATAGACTAGTGTGGTGACAATACTTTGCAGTGCTAGGTTATAGTCTTAAAAGATGTGACATGGGAAGTAGGAATAGGAAGTTAAAAATATAAGCAGTGGCCACATTACCTGTTATAGAAATGATAATAGAAATAGTTGATACTAGCACTTTGGTTTGTTAGGGTTCTTTAGCTGTCACATGACACAAACTTTTTTTTTTTGACATTAGTGATCCTGCTTTAATATATTATAGAGTCTTCCATTAACTTTTTTCTCTTCACATAGGAATACTAAAGGAGATCTCCAGAAAATTCTTTGAGTTCTAGACATCTCTTCCCTGGTCCTACTGATAACAGTAACTTTATTTCTCTTGATATTCAGAATAATTACACCATCTTTACAGTAACCCTTTTTTTACCTACTGCTTCAAGGATATGAGTAGTTCAAAATGGCCAAGTGGCAGTCTCAGCTTCTAGTTCAGTAAAATTGTTGTTCTATACCCTGGTAGAATATTGCCTTTTCTCCCTCCACTCCCCCGCCTTGGGAACTAGGACCTTTAAATTATACACTTAGTAGTGACAAGCAAAAATTTTATTAGTGGGCCATTATGGGTATTAAGACATCTATCCCTTGATTCCTAGATTTCTGACTATGAGAGAAATTAGTTACTGCTTTCTCTTTCAGGGCATATACAGGATCTTGTAGAACAGAAACCTAGCTCAGGTGCTATACATGAGTCTTCAGTAGGCTATTCCATATTTCTATTTCAGGGTGATAGTGAACATGATAAGACCAGTGAATCTCATGGGCATAAGCCTTCTCTCAGTTCCTTACAATCAGTTCCTTGGTCACTCGAAATGTTTTGTAGGATACCATCTGTCAGCAAGCTCACAGATGGTGGACTTACAGAAGCACTTGGTATAGCACTAGGAAAGAGAAACTCACATTCACAGTAAGAGTATCTTCTAGTGAAGGCATACTGCTGCCCCTTCCATGATAGAGAGTCCAATGAATTCAGTCAGCCTTGCAGGTTGCCACATGTTCCAGTAGTATCTAGATCAGTTGTGGTGAGAGGACACCCTTTCTGAAAAATTTTTTCTGTACACATTTTCACATTGCAGAAAATATTTTTTACTTGGAGTAACAAGTTCTGGGGTTTCACATATTACATTAACTAAAAATTCTCCTGCTATAAACACCTAGAATGCAAGAATGATCATTAAGATTCTTTTAATGTATAGCTGAACTCATAAGAAAGACAGAAAATCTTAAAGGGCTAGAAATGAAGAAGGAACTGAGTACCAGAGCAGTAAGCTTGGGAGTTGATGATATCTCTGCACTAAGGTATATTATAGTGCAGGATTCCCAAAGGTAATTTACCATCACAAGTTATAAAATAAAATATATAAACAATCCATCATTTAACAAATATCAGTCTATAAATATTGAATTCCTATTATATAGCAAATACTGTTCTAGGTTCTGGGAATAGAGAGGTGAACTCAATAGACAAAAATACATGTAGATGGTGTATATAAAACATAAGTCCTGTAGGATGGAGGGAAAGAACAAGGTTAGGAGGATAAAGAGTGACTGGTAAGTAAGATGGTCAGGGAAAGCACCTTTGAAATGGTGACATTTGAACAGAGGCCTCAAGAAAATGAAAGAGCATGCTTAGTAGTTATTTCTATGGTATTCCAAACAAAGGAAACAATAAGAGCGAAATCTCAAGGCAACAGTATGTTCCATGCTTATGAAATATCAAGGAGGCTATTAGAGCTAGAGCTCTGTGCAGGAGCATATGACTATGCTATAGCAAGTCAAGAAAGATAGTGGTAAGGGACGAAGTAACAGAGGTGGGGTCTGAATGCCATAGATAGGACTTGGGTTATTAAATAGAATGATGTAGAAACTCATTTGAGGTTTTTGCATACTG